CTGAACTATATCTAGGAGTTTATCATAATTTATGGGCTTTAGGGCAGCCGTACGGAGACCAGACATTAAGCAGGTTACGAATTGGTCTCTAGCCAGGATACCACCCGGGGTGTTATAATCCCAGTGGGGTTCCTTCTCCGGGACAGCATCATTCCCAGTAGGGTGAGTTGGCTGAGTCTGATGTATCTCATCTGCACATGCCCTCGCATAATTCCAAACTTGCTCGCGCTCCTCGTGTAGTAAGTTATTACTTAAAATCATGAAGACATCATGAAAAGTAAGGCTATAAGACTGTGTAATATACTGAAATTCCTTTATAAAGGCAGTGGGGTTAGAAGTATAAGATCCTAATCTGTGCTGAATCTGAGAGAGCTCTGGTAGTGGGAAGGGAACGTGAACTCTAACCACGCCGTCCACACCAGCTACCTCACGCAAGGGGAGGATGGTGGCCGGATCAGCTTTAGTAGCCCTGGATCCGGTCCTAGAACGGGTAATAGGTGGGGTGAAGGTAGGAGCCAAGAGTGGTTGTTTAGAAGCAGCTGAGTCAGAGGAAGCCGGAGCGGGGACAGTTGAGACAGAAGAGAGAGAAGGTTCAAGGATCTTAGTAGAAGCTTTAGAAGGCGCAGCTGAAGGGTGGAGGCGAACCGGTGGAGGTTCATCAGCTGGATCCAAGTCTATAAGATTTAATTCAGGCTTAGATTCCATAGCCAGAAGAATTGGGGATGAGGAGGGAGAGAGAGAGTGTTTAGCAGATAGATAGAAAAAAGCCTGTACATAAGGTAACTCCTTCCATTTTCCGGTTTGCTGACAGAAGTTAGATAAATCCTGCAAAACCTCAGGATCTAATGTCCCGTTTGGGGGCCAGTGAGACTGGTTCTCTAAGGAATACCTAGGCCATTTTTTAGTACTGAGATATGTGAGTCTAGATGCCTTAATTAACGGCATTAGGTTGAAGGGTTTTAAGTTTTCTAAAAGACATCCCAGTGGTGTGGATGGGCTTATTTCCTTAGTTGGCTTATTCCCCATGGGTGAAAAAGTTAAAAACCGGTAAAAGCCCCTCTC